ATTTTAGCTGTCTTCTAGCACTTTGGCGTACCGTGGTGTACCAGTCGGTTACAGCCACGCTTAAAGTTTCTGAACTTTCTTTAGTAGGCCTGTAGATGTTTGGCTAGGTCTAATGATAGCCTGCTTCATTTAGATTAGTGAATCTAATGTGGGCCTTCTGCTCAACCATTTTCTGATTGCCATAAAAATGTTGTGGTCCAAGTATCTGGTGTGTGCGTGCGTGTGTGTGCGGTTGACAGAGCATTTTTGAAAAATGCTCTGTCAGCCTACTTTCAGGCAGTTTCCTCCCACGTTGAAATCTGAGGCAATGTTTGAACATGAATGTCTCAAAAGCTATTAAAGACAAAAGTCTCAAACTTTCATTTTAGTGGTAAGAAAGGGGAGTGAATCACGACAGATAGATCAATAGATGCATCAGTTGCTCAGAATTGTTAAAATATAACAAAAACTTTAAATCCATCCTCTACAGTCTTGTATTTTGCAGAGGGACTAATAATAAACTTCACATTGCAAAAGACAGCTAGTGACAGTTTTGAATGGTGTATAGTTTTATTTCACAATGATGCAAAAATAAAATGTGTAGAATACTTAATAAAGTGAAATTTGTAGTGACAAAAATGAAGAAAATCTGTTTTTATTTAACTTTTTAAAACAAATATGACAGTTTGTCATTAAATTTCACTTTGATTGCTTCATTTTAAATCTATCTTAGCAAAATAAAAAAAACTGTTTCTTGCAGATAGATGACATTGACCTGATAAGTGCTAACATGGAAAATGCTCTGGCTTCCATCGGAGGTTTCTGCTGCGGCCGCTCCTTTGTCATCGACCACCAGGTACTGTAACAACCGTGTTGGGAGTCTGTCTTGTAAATGCATCATCAGATAATCAGCCAGCATTTTTACATGTCATTGTCAAGATTAGTGATTAATCCCATGCTTGACAAATCATTATATCTAGTATATATCTGTTGCTTTTTTGTAACGTTTCACTTATTTACAAGCCTAATTACATTTTACACTAAAGTACAATTTAAATAAAAACAGAATGCAATGATTTGCAAATCTCATTGACCCATATTTTAATCGATATAGAGTAGGGGTCTCAAACTCGCGGCCCACATCACCCCTACTGTGTAGCAGCGGCACAAATGTCTGTGAACTGAGGAGACCAGTTGCTGTGACTTTGCGAAATGTTTTTAATTGGTGAAAAGTCTGGACTACAAGAAGGCCGGTTAAGCACCAACTCTTCTATTATGAAGCTTTGCTGTCTTAATAGGTGAAGTAGAGATGCAGGCTTTTGAAGCGAGCACCGAGAACAGGATGGTGTCTCTCCTCTCATTCCATCTCAATTGGTCAAATTTTATGAACATTTATAATGAGTGCATAATTATTATTGCATAATGCTCTGTACTTTTCCTGGATGGTATCTAAATTCTTTTAATATGAAACAAAAGTAAACTACTTTCATTGTGGATGTGTTCTCAGATCTTTTGGGAAATGTTTAAAGACACATTTAATAAGGTGCCAACAGTTTCTAGGCCTAACTGTAAACTCAGACCTCAGTCATTACACCTAGCTGAGTGAAGTGAATCTGGGGAAACGTAAGCTGAAATTATACTGATATGGGCCAGAACTGCTGGTTTGTTATTCCATTAATCAATAGGTATTTTTAAGGTGATCAATTTTAGCGCGTTAATCATGAAGATATGATTTAGTAAAACTTTTTTAAAAATGTTTTTAATGTATTTTGTAGCGTCTCTCAGGTCAAGGCTACTGTTTCTCTGCCTCTCTGCCTCCCATGCTGGCTGCTGCTGCTATCGAGGCTCTCAACATCATGGAGGAGGACCCAGGTACACAATCTGTTCTCATCCACTCCAGCTCCAGAAAAATACATTATCTCAGCTGATAACCTGTTCTTGGAGATTGAGCATTCCATTTCTACTTCTTACTGATTAGGAAGCATGTTTTATTAGAATTTTTGTAATTTTTTTTCTTCTGTTTTGCAGATGTTTTTCGAGTCCTCAGAGACAAGTGCAAACATGTCTACAACGCTTTACAAGAGTATGTTTGTGTTTATGGTGATTTCTTTTTTTCCTTCTGTGGGTGGGGGAGGTGTCCCTCCACATCAGTTTTCTGATTCAGCATCATTATTTGCATCCTCAGACACTACAGCCTTTCACACATAGAGTAAACACCATAGGCTTACATTCAAATTATACTCTGGCTTTGTCTTCCTTTACAGTGTCCATAATAAATTGTGTTTTGGTATATGTTTGCTTTATTTTCTATGTGAAACAGAACACCAGGTCTAAAGTTAGCTGGAGTTCCAGTGGCCCCAGCTCTTCACTTGGAGCTAGAGAGAAGTTCTGGCTCCAGGGAATCTGACATGAAGCAGCTCCGTTCAGTTGTCGATTATGTAAGTCTAACAGTACCAGATGATTCCATCAGACGCACACTGAAACTGTTATTTAAAGTTTTTGGAGACCGTTGTGGGATTTCATATATAACTTCAGACTGAGAGTGTCAAAGTCAAGATGAAATCCAATAACATGACCTGTGAATAAGGCGCAAGTACCCTGTACTTGTGTGCATTTTGCAGACAACAAGTCAGGTTGTTGCAGAAAACAATAAAACAATTTTCACTGTAAAACCCTCCACTAAGGCACAAATACACAAGAAACAATGAAACGATTCACTGTAACTACCTTCTTGCACTTAATCCCCAATGGGGTTAAGTTTAAGGTGTGTCCCCATCAAAACGAAAAAGTATGGACATGT